TTAAAGATAAGTGAAATCAAAAATCGCAAAAGTTCAATCTTTTTTTTGGACATACATGTATATAGTGTATAAAATATCTCTGTATTTTCTTTAAGTCTCTTCATTGACGAAATATTAATCTTTTAGATACTGAACTTATTTATTATATTAATAAAAAAGTATTATTAACCAAGTATAAAACTTATTCTTCACAACCTTTTAAAACTGTTATAAATTATTTGTAACCCTTTTGCATTTATTGCAATCTCTTTTAACTATTGTTAATAAACTTATTGTATGATATTGTATTAATTTGCTATATTGACTTGGAGTCTTTGAAGTGTAATCTCTAAAATATCTTGTGTTATAATTGTGTTTATTTTATATTTATCTTACATATATTATTATTGAGAATAATCTTTGACGTTATTGTGAATTCTCACCTATGATTCCTTGAGTAATAGTCTTATTTTTATTTACCCTTTTGAGATTTCATTGAAGTTATGAAACCATTATAACAACACATAAAAATTTTTTTTAAAAAAATTTTTCATTTTATTAAAATGATGAAAACTAATGAACCTTCTTTACTAATTAAAAAAAAATCTGTTAAAATTCATAATTATCCTAAAAAATCTATCATTTAATATTCTAATTCTGAATGAAGCTATACTTATAATATTATTAAAGAAGGAAATTATCTATCTATAACTTAATGTTAGACGAAAAGTTAAACAAGTTATAATTACCTGTCAATTCTTAACAATATTAATAATATATATTGATCTGAAAATTATTATACTATAAACTTGTATCCTAGTGTTGAAAAATATGAGACTTTAAATATTGTTTTAGAACCACTAGTTGTAGAATTAAGAAAATTAAAAGAAGGGGTTTTAGAGATAATCGGAATATAGAATGGAAGCTTAAGCTATATTTTTCATCAGGCTGGAAATTTGTCTAAGATTAAATACAACAAATAGTAAATATTTCTGTCTATAGTGTGATATGTCTCAAAACAACAGGATGATTTCTCATATGAATGGACAATTAATAAAATATGGAACAAATTTGTAAAGATTATACATTTTATAAGGGTCATATTTGACCAGCAATTTTTAATATGATTTCTTTACAAAATTGGGTTCCAGACGAATTATATTATGTTATGCACCACAGATGTTTTTTGCCGATTAATAATTGAACTTAAATCTAGAAATACTTGAGAAGATAGAGTAAGAAATGTAATAGTTGAAACGCATTGATGTTAAGTTTCATTTTTGGCTTGAAGTAGGGTCAACAAATTGGCAATATACTTCTTTGATAATACAAGATAAATTTATTGTTTTTCGATATTTTAACTAAACTTTTTCCAAATTCATAAGCAACTCAAATTAGAAAATTGTGAAATAATTTTTATTTTACTTTATAAAGCAATGAAAAATCTTAAAACTGATGCAAAACAATGCACATGCATGGTTGTGCCAGTTTTTAAATTTAATTATTTTTATCAAGCAGGTGATATTACGTATTGGTATATCACATTCCAAAAATGATGCGGATTCATCACAATTTTGGTCTTGAAAAAAAAAAGCCAAAGTTTCCCTTTTTTTTTTTTTAAAAAAAACACAAAATATTTAGTTCGTTCAAACGATTTTGCAAGCAATGAAAACAACTCCGACAATCGTGTCAATATCACAAATTTGATGACAAAAGTGATACACGGATTAATTTTACTTTTCTATCCAAAAGATAATTATCGTTTATAAATATAAATGGAAGGTGGCGCTATATAATTATAAATTTCCTTAATGAGTTATTGCCAAGTGATTTCACAATCGTTGGATGAAATGTACAATTCGTAGTTACAAAAAAAAAAAATTTCATCTACATTTATAAATAACCATTTTACGATGATTTATTTTATTTTGTCTTTTTTTTTTTTTTTTTTTTTTTCTCTTTTTTTGCTTAACCCGTTTTAACTAGCAAAAAAAAAAATATGGGAGCTTTTCAGAAAGGAACCGCACTTTGGCCTGGTGGTATCGTTCCATATCAACCAAATGAAAATCATCCCTTTTGGTCTGTTATCTTAAATGCCATAAACGAGATGAATAATAAAACGGTGGTCAAATTTATCGAGAGAACGGTTCAACCAGATTATGTTTATTTCACTTCCGAGAATTCCGGAAACTGGTCCATTACCGTAGGAAAAGCTGGAGGACCACATCAAGTAAACATTGACAAGAATGTAAGATCCTTGCATGAATTGGGGCACGTTATCGGGTTGGTACATGAACATCAAAGACAAGATCGAGATAGCCATATTGAAGTTCATAGAGAATTCATAGATTCCAATAACGAGTGGAACATAAACAACGTCATTAACACAACGGAAATCGAATATGAAACCGAATATGACGTTCACTCGTTCATGCATTATTGGGATACCGCTGGAGTAAGCAATAAAGTCAAAAATAAAGAATTGGCCAAAAGGATTGCCACCGGTATTGCCACTATTGGGATCTCAGAAATAAAAGATCATGTTAAAGGTCGTTCGATGGTATATAAACGTGACAGACGCATGCATATTGTTACTAGTGAATTCCTTTCTCCTTTGGACATCTATTGCATTAATAATGTCTATAATAACTACGCGCCTACCTCCTGATGACTCGGAGAATAGAGATGGTTATGATTGGTCGGTGGCGGTGGATGACCCGGAGGTCAACAATTTCGGTATTTCGGTATTTCGGTAGGGAGGGTCATAAATATAAATTGTAACTGAAATTTTCATCAGCTGCACTTGTAAAAAAAAATTTTTTTTTTCTTTATTATATATTTTCATGAATACAGTAATTTATTTTGCAAAAATATTTTCTCTTTATTAATGACGGATAATCACACCCTTTATATTTTTTTTTTTAAAATAGTCTACTTTTATCTATTAAAGGAAACGTACCTTTAACATAATATCTGGGTTTAATTAATAAAAAAGAATTCATTATTTTTGATTACAATTATAATAAATGCCAAATTTTGTCCAAAGAAAAACATCTAAAATTTGAATTTAATGAGCCAAAAAAGAGGAATCTCGTTATGATACTAAAAGACAGCTTTGTTAACCACGTCTTACCAAAAGCCCGATCAACACGTAATTCTTAAATTTGCATTGATCCGCGTTATTACCTGATTTGGAAATTTCGATTAAAGATAAGTGAAATCAAAAATCGCAAAAGTTCAATCTTTTTTTTGGACATACATGTATATAGTGTATAAAATATTCACAATGACATCATTTATTTAATAACGATCCGTGTATTACAAAAAAAAAAATAATTCTACAAATCCCAACCTCTACAATGAATAAATAAACTTTTTTCAAAAAACCCCCAGATCCCAAAACCTTTACAATGAAAAAAAAAAAATCCTAAACAAAAAAAAACTTAATTCTAAAATCATTTGAAATACAGTCAATCAATTAAAAAGAAAAGAATAACGATCTAAATTCTAACTAATTTTCTATTCATCATCCACTATGATGCTTGATGGGTCATTAGGAGTATTAAGCAATGCTGTACGTTCATTAGGAACATCAACAATGGGTTCTTCAATACATTTTTCTCGTTGTTCTCTATAATACCAACAAATGCACATTATAAGAAGAGTTCCTTGAAGGCATCCTGTAATAAGGAAAACGATCCATGTTGTCCATCTGGTACCCTCACGAGTAGCAAGTGAATATACGAAAAGGAATGATCCTATTTTCAAGACGTTGAATGAATAAGAATTTCATACCGTACGACTTGTAAGATTGTACGTAAAGTGAATTCATTTACCTGGAGTTTGAACCAACATCATTGGAATACTAAGGGCTCCAACAGTCTAGATAAAAATAAAATTATAAGAAATGACTGGGAAAAAGAGTCAAATTTGAAATCAGTGTAAGGATATTCTTGAAGGTCATTACCTTTCCTTGCCAAGTTCTCCAAATTTGAGGTAAATATTGAACTGAGGCTAAAATCAAAGAAATGATTCCTAATGCATCTGCCCAATATTTGGTTAAATCATGTTCATCGGCTTTACCGACAAATATTAAAAGATAAACAGAAACAACAAGCGTAAAGATGAAATGTAAAGTAACAAAGGCTGTAACATAAAGTGATACACTCCAATCCTTTGAAATTGCAACATCATCTAAACCAATTGGTATATATTTTCTGTATTGTGGAAAATATGCCATGAACAATATTAAAATCATTGTAAACATAAACCATTGGATTGTGAGTTGGGTAACTCCCAAAGTATTTTCAAAACAAGCTCTACCAGACTAGAGTTTCAATCGTATATACATATATTTTAAAAACAAAGAAAAAAGAAAAAGAAGAAAAAGAAGAAGAAAAAAATTATATATCAAAATTTGAATTTACGTACCACATATTTACAACATTCAAGTTGAGGGATTTGTAAAATTAAAATATTGAAAAAACTGCATGTCATTGAAACGGCTCCCAATAAAAGAAACCATGGACTAATTCCTTCACTAGACTTGAGACTAATAATTCTATAATGCTATTAAAAATAAGGTAAGATTATTTTAATGCTTTTACGTAATCAATGAAAAAAAGAAAAGCTTTCTAAATTACCTGTGGTAAATAACTAATTAACAGTCCACATGCAATAAAGACCGCAATAAATACTTCTAGAAAATTATTGTGAGAACGACAATCCTTTGGATCAACATCAAATAATAAACGATCCATATTTTACAAAAGATTTTATTAATCGTTCGTAAATAAAAATGGGGCGAAAAAAAAATAAATAAATAAACAAAAATATAGTGTTTATATGTAAAATTTAAAAAAAAAATGATTAACGAAGTCGATGGAATTTAAAGACGAGGTGTCTCCCACTTTTGTTTCCATATCAAATCTTACTTGCGATCTGCAATTTAATATTGACACACAAGATTACGCCTGTTTTATAATTATCATCCATCAAACAAAAAACAAATTTTTGATCTGATCTTGTCTTGGTTGGAGATTTATAAAATTCGGAAACTTTCAATTTAAAAAAGGAAATGTGATACGGATGTTGTTTGTTTATTTATTTGTCTTACAAAGAAAATCACGAGAAACATGTGATTTATCATTTCTTTGACGCCAAGTTAAGATGGTGAATTAACTGATAATTCGATAACTGCGATATATTGATTCCAAAAATAAATAAATATGTTAAAAGAAAATCTATATAATCAAATCCTATAAAATATTGACATGATTTAAAAAATGTCCTTTCTAGTTTTCTCGTACTCTTTGAGGATCAAGCAAACTTGAACTTTCATTAGGTTCACTAGATTCACTAGATTGAGCTTCAATTTCACTAACAGATCTTGAAGAAATTCCACGCTTCTCTCTATAATACCAAACAAGACATAATGCAAGAAGAATTCCTTGTAGGATTCCTGCGATAAGGAAAGCAATCCAAGTGGACCAACTATTACCCTCACGAATTGCAAGAAAATACACGAAAAGAAACGTTCCTAGTTACATGAAGGAGAAAAAATATTAATAAATAGGAAGTTTATGCATGATGCACGAATTATAAAGTGGATTAATTTACCCGGAGTTTGAACTATCAACATGGGAATACTAAGAGCTCCGACAATCTAGATATAAAAATTATAACCATTAGAAGAAGAGTTAATATAATCATAGGAACGTTCTAAATGGTCGTACCTTGATTTCCCAAGTTTCCCAAATCTGAGGAAGATATTGAATTGATGCTATAAACATAGAGAGGACTCCTAATGCATCTGCCCAAAATCTGGTTATAAAATGTTCTTCAGCTTTTCCAACGAATATTAAAAGACAAGCTGAAACAATAAGCGTAAAGATGAAAAATGAAGCAACAAAGACTGCAACATAACGTGAAACACGCCATTTGATTGAAGATTTTAAACTATTATATCCACTCATGTCAGATATATATTTCTTATGTTCTGGAAAGTATGCTATGTACAATATTAAAAATATTGTAAACATAAACCATTGAATTATAATTTGAATAATTCCCAAAGTATTCTGAAGACAAAATCTACCAGACTAGAGAAATTTTAACAAAGCAAAGCAAAAAAGAACTTTACATTTTGGTTTTTCCTTTAAAAAAGAGAGAAATATTCTTTGAAATTCACATACCACATATATATTGTTAGCTTGTAGAATTAAAATATTGAATAAGTTGCATGTTATTGAAACAGATCCATATAAAAGAAACCATGGATTAATTCCTTCACTAGTCTTGGTGTTAAAAATTCTATAATGCTATCAAGTATTTTAATATATATACACGATATCTTTAGCATGATAACTTTGACCAAAGAATTCTTTTAGCTTACTTGTGGTACATAACAAACGAAGACACTAATTGCAATTATAGTTGAAATAAGTAAGTCTACAGGATCATTGAAACAGTGCTTTGGGTCAACAAATAATAACAAACGTTCCATCTTTAAGAAAGAAGCTATTTGGCGTATTTTTTAATTTCCAGTTTTATAAGTATTGTTCGAATGGAATGTCACACAAGATTACACGTAATTTAGATACTGATATCATGTGAACTAATATTTCCTGAAAATTTATTTATTGTTAATAATTATACATAATTAAAAATAAGTAATCAATGTAATCAAGAATTATCTATTATGGTAAATCCATCAAAATCAATATTAGAATACAAAATTCGGAATACAACCTAAGAGATAACGGGTATTATTTTATGTTAGTTCTTGATTTTGTGAAAATAAAAGTGTTTGTTTCAACAATTCATTCCTAAACAATAAAAAAAACATTAAAATTTGAACGAAATATTTATATTGATACATAATAAATATTCTATAGTTACCTTCTTTTGAAATCATATACTAGATCATCTAATCCAAATACACTAGATGATTGATCGAATTCTTCTTTATATTGTTTGCTTCGATTCTTTGCTGGTTGACTATCAAGAATAAAATAAAAATAAAAAAAGTTAAAAGATCTATATGTAATAAGTTCAAAATTCTTCGACCCTATTCTTACTTTGCCGACATTCCCTCAATGGTTAGCATTAAATTTGTATTAGAGTCTTTACCGCCCCCCGTTCCTGCGTTAGCATTCATTTGTGGCGTAGAACTAACTTTACAATTGGTTACTTGAAATTTATGACTTAAAGAATGAACAGCAGCAATACTTTCACCATCTTCACCAAGATTCACCAAGACGTATGAATCTTTAGGTACATCTGAGGGAAAGGGTTCATCCTCAAACACATAATGAACCGCTGGATGTTTCCAACACTGTTGCAATTGATCATGAATTACAACAAACTGTGGAACGGTTGAAGGTCCCGACGATGTTGTAGGTGGAGGTTGTTGCATCATGAAGGGTTTATAGGGTATGGAGTTGAGATTCCTTATATTATCAGGATTAGCACCTTCACTTTTCGATCGGTACCTGAGTAGATCCCGTGATGAGCTATTTACCATTTAGGGGCATATTAAAACCTGATTCTGCGTAATACATTGCCACGCTCGTGACACAATTATGGCGGATCCCTCTATTCTAATTAAATTTCCTATAATTGAATACCGAGTTTCATTATGCAAAAAATCGCTCTCAATCTTATCTTTAAGGTTTTGATAATGTTAACAGGGTAGCTTATATACCTTAAATCAGGCTTCGTACTCATATATTTTATCAATTTTATAAAAAAAAAAAAAAATATATATATATCATGTCTTCCATGAAGCCTAATTCTAATGATTCTGACGAAGAAAGAACAATGTTTATAGAAATACCTTCGTCAGATGTACAAAGCACCGACAAAATAGCAGATGAGGAGGAAAACTCTTCCGATGAATCAATTTTACTACCCGATGATACCGCTAAGAAGCAAACTGCGCTTGATACTGTTATAACAAAGATTGGAATGGGAAAATTTCAAAAACAATTGTTGGTTCGTTGATAAAAAGTTTTATTTATTTCGGTTGTTTTGTGGTTTTACTTGAAAATAAGTTTGATGGAAGTGGTTTTCATAGAATCCGTTACAGGATATTACGAGGGTATCGAACAATTCAATAACTCGTTTTGTTTTCTAGGTACTTTGTGGATTAGGGTGGCTTGCTGATAATGTAAATATTCTATTTATTTTGTTATTTTTTTTTTTGGCAAAAAAATCCTTCACATTTTTCCTGATTCAATTATTTATATAATAGATGTGGTTACAGGTAATATCCTTATTTTCACGTGTCTGTCATGTGCTTTCTTGTATAATGTTATACAAAAACATTTCTAATCCTCCTTTGGTTGGGAAATCTTTGAAAATTATGCAATTGATTTAAAGTGTATAGCTGTTATATTACCGAGAGTGCAAAGTAAGTAATATATCAATGGGTCTCATTACCTTATCATAACTTATAGTAACTTGCATATTTACATGTTATTATTATTTTATTGTTTAGGACATTTTGAATTGCCCGATTCACTCATCGGGGTATTGTCAAGTTCCTTGTTTACTGGTATGATGTTTGGTGCCTTATTCTGGGGTGTTCTTTCTGACACTCATGGTCGTAAACAAGCATTCAACTGGACTTTAGCTGTCACTACCGTTTTTGGTATATTTTCAAGCGTTGCACAAAGCTTTCCTCAATTATGTGCTATGCTTTTCCTGTTGGGATTTGGCGTGGGTGGAAATATGCCGGTCGATGGTAATAAATGATTTCTTTAGAATGATCTTATGGTCTCTGTTATTCATTAAGGTTAAACCTTTTTCATAAAAATTTGAAATTAGGTGCATTGTTCCTCGAATTTATACCAAAAGAGCACCAATACCTTCTCACTTTTATGTCAGTGTTCTTCTCACTCGGTGCAGTGCTCAGTTCAGTTTTGGCATACCTTATTTTACCACAGAACAGTTGTCACGAAGGAACAGAAGGAACAGGCTTTGTACCATGTGATGTCTCTAATGAAAACAACGGTTGGAGATATTTGCTGGCAATTTTAGGATCTTTGGTTGGCTTTGGTTACAGTGATTGTCCTTTTGTGTTTAAATATTATAAAATGATATTTATTTTTCTCTTTCAATCTTGTAGACGTTCTTCATGCTCATATCCCGTATTTTATTTTTTCGACTTCAAGAATCACCTAAATATTTAATGTCACGTAACCGCAAACATGATGCCATACTTGTGTTACGCAAGATCGCAAAGATTAATGGTAATGATATGCAGATTCATTCCAGTGACTTTCCAACAACTCCTGCTGCGAGTAATTCAAATTCTCGTAATGGTTCATTCACCGCTTTTCCTTTCCCGAATGAATCTCGGTATCATAAAGTCGATTTTGTCTCGGATCCAATAGCATATATCAAGTACCATGTGTCATCAAATTTGAATGCAGTCAGACCTTTATTCACAAGAAAATGGTTCGTCACGACCGTTCTTGTATGGGGTATATGGGCTCTGGTTTCTTTTTCTTACACTATGTTTAACGTATTCTTACCAAAATATCTTGAGAGTTTGGGGTTAAATAACGGTGAAAAAGAGACCGGATCATTGATGCATGACGTTTTAAAGGATTATGTTATATATTCATTATGTGGAGTTCCCGGATCCGTGGTTGGATCATGGTTAATAGAAACTTTTCTTGGTCGTATTGGAACCATGTCATTTGCAACGTTTGGTACTGCGTTATCTGTGTTCCTTTTCTCGGCCGTTAAATCGCATTCTGGTGAAGTGATCTCTTCAGCTATGGTCAACTTCTTGGCCACACTGAATTACGCTGTTATATATGGATATACTCCGGAGGTTTTTGAGTCAAAAATAAGGGGCACAGCTTGTGGAATAGCATCTGCTTTTGGAAGAGTGTAAGTTGATTTCCTGCCTTTTGTTCTTACATTTTGGAAATACTTTTTCTAATACATTTGATTTCAATTCAGTGCTGGTATAATTGCTCCAGTGATAACAGGCATTCTCCTTTCAATTAGCATATCTGTGCCATTATACGTTTCTGCATTATTATTTGCAATATCTGGTGTTTGTATGGTTTTATTACCTATCGAGACTAGAGGAAGACAGGCTTAGCCTTTAGGATAAATATATTTATATATATATTAGGATCAATAGATGTTATTATTATGTATTATAAAAATTACATGAAAAATATTTTGGCTTTAAATAAATTTTATTTCTATATCGCGTCCAGTGTTAATTTTTTAATGTGCGGATTGTTTGCTCCGCCCAAAATTATATAATTTGTGCACACCATTTTTAGAAA